TTGATATTCGACGCTACAAATACGATATAAACGCAGCATATTCCCAATTGATACACAATCATGAACCCGTCTACGAGTCCTCTGCAAATATAATAGCAACTTTCATGTAACAATTGAAAAAATTATTGTCGAGGCCGCTTGGTGAAGTGATTTTGTGCGTGCGTTGTGTGATTGTGATAATTTGGTCGATCTTTGTGAATGAGGGAAGAATATTCTTTTTTTTTTCTCTATCTCTCTCTTTCTATCTTATATTAATCGTTAATGATTATCGTTATATTACATTAGAAAGAAATATTAAAGTAATTATAATTAAAGATGCATATAACAATTACAGATAGGATGAGATAATAATATTCGAAGATGTTGTAGAAATGTCATTTATTATTGTGGAAAATGAAAAGGATAATTAATTTTGTTTATTATTAACGAAGAAATTTAGAATTCCTAGAATAAGATAATATTTCAAATTTCTTTTTCTCTTTTTATAAAGTCACCGATATAATTAAACATTATATCAAACATTATTTTATTATTCTATATATATAGATTTTTGTATTATCAATCTGTATTAATATAAATTCAATTTTTTTTAAGAAAAAATGGATATAGCTAACTTATTCTGTTCTATTAAACTCTTTTCGATTGTTTATTTACCTTTCGATAAATAGTGCTACTTAAAACTGCAATAATACTACTTAAGACTATTATAATAAGTAGAACCAATCGATTATAATCAGACGATGATTTCTCGTCTGCCCCCAATTAATTTCTTCGATTTTCGACTGAAAAAGATATTTTATCAGCTTGGATAAAATTTTTTATCTAATCCTCGAGAAAGTTCAAAAGAATTACAATATAAAATTTTGCATTGGAATAAAATAAACATCACATTGGCATAAACGAAAAAGGATATCTTGGCCAATCCAATAACATCTTAATTTTTCTCAATATCTTACATTATTCGAAATAATAAAAAAAAAAACTTGTATCATGCACAGAAACTACTTCTAGAAATCTTCTCGAATCAACTCATTTTTTTCATTTTTATTAAATAATTTAAGAAATTATTCCAAAGTATTTTTTGTTTTTATTTTATTAGAATATAATATCGTAATTATATTGAATTCGAATCAATAGTAAATTACTTCATATATTAAAAATTCATATATTTTTATCACTCTATCAGGCAATCAAATTTAAAAAAAATTCTTGCAATTTTACAAAATAATAAAATGTGTAATGGAACGAAATATAATTATTAATGAAATTTCAAGCGAGATGATCATTGATTCCGATCTTCATCATATTTTTTATCGTATTTGGAATTTTTAATTTCTAATTAAAAGTTAAACTTCGAGTGGAAACAATTAATGAAGAAAAAAAAAAAAAAATTCGCAAGCTTATGTCAATGAATGAGTGAGTACATGTATGAGTGTCTGTACACGGGGTCTGCAACTTATATACTTACGGTGCATAGGGTGCGAACCATCGGACACACCCAGGCCCTTCCTCGAGAGCGTATTTCATGCTCAGTGGATAACTCAATATAGGAACTCTTAACCGTTTACACAGTTTGTACTGAGCTTTCACTAATACGTGCAAACAATAGGTGCACAGCACCCCTATGATCACTGTTGCTATCACACCGGTGACCAGGCCACTGTTGCGGAACGCGTTCGGCATCGCTAGAATACCGGTACCCAAACTTCCTTTCAACAAATGTATCAAAGTCTCTGCGTTCCTGCAAATTAAAATTTATAGAAAGAGGAAAAAATATGAGAGAGAAAAGAAGGTGTTCGAAATTTTTTTCGTAAGTTAAAATTCATCGAGGTTTGATAATAATCCTTTCCCTAAATTAAAATTAATTTAGATATTATTTTTGATAAATATTGCTTTTAACATTGGATTCGAAATTATAATATAAAAGTTTGAGCGTTCGTTTAATAAATTTGTTTGAGCGTATCTGAGAATAGCGTTTGAATAAAAAAAATATCTTATCTTTAAGTGGCTTATGAAATTTACTTGAATTGTGTGCAAGTGAGTATGATACAATTCTTATATAATAGAGATTACAGGAAATAACGAGATATGAGAGGCTACGTTCCATTCTTATGCATATCTAAAAATATGATGTAATTTTAAACAAGTGATAAATATCTGTGATATATGTTCGAAGTAAAAAAAAAAAAAAAAAAAGAAAAAAATAATAAAAAAGAAAGAAAGAAATTATTCTTTTCTATATTTAAGCGATAAATTTGTTTTTTTATTAAAAATTAGAAATACTCACGATGTCGGATTTGGCCTATTTCGATGTTTGTGGGGATCGTAGTCTTCTACGTTTGTGGTCTGCGATATTGGGACTTCCGATGCATTTAGACCACTTCCGGCGATTTCATTATTAACTCTGCAACCGCATCAATTTGCAAATGCAATCTACATCCCTGTGCTTTTATACATATCGAATTTTTGAAACATTGTGATATCATCTATCGTGATGATACATTTGATATCATCACGCGTTTGAATTGTCCCGAATTATGATTAAAAAAATAAAATTGAAGTAAATAAAATAGAAAAGGAAGAAATATATTTATATACGATAGTGAACTTGGAAAATGAGAATATAACGCTTTTAAATTCTTTTCGAGAATTATAAGTGGAATCAGACGTACTTGTACGGACTTTCGGAACCGATCAGCTGCATGTTTATCGTCTCCTCCTTCGCGTTCTCCATTTTGTTCGTTGCTTAATCTTCTATATTTTTCATGGGGAAAGAAAAATTTAATTGAATCAGATATAATATAAATATAACTTAGAATGTAGAAGGTAAAAAAAGAAATTATTTTTTACATTTTTCTAATTTTTCTTTTATACATATATTTATATAAATTAAAAGTGACATCTCAATTTTAATTACGAATTTTATCATATCACGATTTTCGTCGATTTATATTTATTCGTAGCACGATAAGTTAGCTTTCCTTTTTTTTTTCCAATTGAAAGAAATAATATTAAAGAATTAAACATTTGTTCATTTTTATAAAAAAAAAAATATCCATTTATAGAGGGTTAAATACTTTCATGAGTCACATAAGTACCATTATAACAACTCTTCTTCACTCGCTACCTCCCCTCTTCCAATCAACCCATGCGTAACACTCAATGCGACTCATTCAGCACGAACGAGACATAGGAAAATTCCCAGCCACGAATGCACCATCTCATTCTCCATCTTCTTTATAGTAATTCAAATGAAACGATAGGCAAGCAGGCAAGGAACACCGTGAGAAACGATGATAGGACTGAACTTCCTTTTTGCAACTTTTTCTTTTTTTAATTTTTATCCTATAACAATACTCGATGAACAAAGACTCGAAATATTTTTAATTAAAGTTAGATCAACTCAGAACTTTATCTTTAATTTATATTAAAATTTTTATTGTATCTCGATTGAAAATATTCGAAGATGTAGATATACCAAATTTATCAGATAGATTTAATTAAATCAGATCAAAACTCTCTCTTATATTTTTCCGATATTATTCAATAATGATAATTAAGAAAAAAACAAAATATATTGCATTAAACCTTTGCATTTCCAAATTTTTTGTTTCGTCTCTACTATCGAAAATATATATATATAAAAAAAAAAATAACAAAGTCACGTGGAGAATTAGGATCCTGGAACGCGGAAGCGATGATGATATATATTGGAAGCGCGTCAGGATCAAAGGCACGACCTAGATATCGGTGCAGCAAGGCTCCTGATCAATTGGCGGATATGGAGCAAGCGATACGATACGATAGGATAAAAATGGCAATTCATCATTGCGAATCTGTTCGGATCCGCGTGTCTACGCGTGTAGCTTTAGCACATTCTTTCGCGAACTGATTGCTCTTAATTATTGCATTGAGGTCAAATGTGTAGTTAACTTACTGAAGGTTATACATAGCAACCGTACGTTTTCACTTCATCGTTTGCCAACCTACCAATTGATCCGTGCTCGAAGAACGAACGTCGCCCGAACCGATACCGAAACGTCTTGCGCATTTTACCTCTCTTGATCGTTTCGAAATTTCGACAAAGTTTATTTATCGAGATTATTTATCTTCTTTCGATCGTTCTTTTACGAGTATTAAAAAAGATCATGGACGGAGATCATGTATGATTGTTCGAAATTTTAAAGATCAAGAGCCAGGGGATGATCTCTCCATGGATGGAAGAATGTAATTGGAATTTGTTTTGTGTTTTTTTTT